CTTCTTCCCGCACGAGCAATGGAAAAAAGCTAGGAGCCGACTGGCTATATATAGGGCGGCAGCGCAGCCAGGGAGAAACGTCCACAGCACGTCAGTACTCGCACGCTTCTCCCCCCTCAAGAGACATACATACACACGTACATACATACATATGTACATTCTATACACAGAAGCGTGCGCATGTTACACACATACACATAGATAAAAGTTACCACAGCAACCGGGAGGGGGGGGCACAGGGGAGGTGAAACGGCACACACACACACACACACACATTTCAGAGTCGATTCTAGTCTTATACCGCAGGACGAGAAGCGCCTCTTCAGCGGCAGAAGAAGAGCCAACAGCAGGAGCCACCGCAGCAGCAGCAGCAGCACTGCCCCTCAGCGGCCGCACCTACACACCTCTCCTCCTCCTCCCGGCTCCCCCCCCCTTTCCTCCTCCGAGTACTGAGCGCCCGCAAGGGGTTATTATCCGCACGACGGTTCCTTCTCGTACTACATGTACGGGGCATGAAACCTGATTCAAGTGGCTCTTGGGTACCGCGCACACCTGTTCCCACACCCACTAAGTATATATTTCAATGCGCGCTGACAGCAGCACCTAACCCCACCCCCACCCCCCTGCGTCCCCACCCCTCGGGATTTTACCTCATAACACCCTTTTACCCTACCTATCTATCTACCCTAGTCTTCCGCCCCCAACCCCTTTTACCCTATCTACATGGCCAAGTGCTTTGCTTCGCGACTGACAACTCCAACCCCACCGCCCCGTGTTGCGCGTTGGTGTGTGTCCCCCCTTGGTGCCTTCACTGCGCTCCTGGTGGCGCAACCCCCCTCCTGGGCCCTCCTTCGCAGGCACACATAACCACCACCACCACCACCACCACGACCACCAGCTGCAGCAGCTACAGCTCCAAAACGTAACCACACGAGGGAATGTTTGTTTGTACGTATGTTCATATGTATGTATGTTTGGTTCACTACTCAAACCACCAGTGGAAGCCTGGTGTGCAAACACGTGCACGCACAGACAGACAGACATAGCGGCACACATGCAGGTGGTGGTGGCTCCTCCTTCTTCAGCAGCGCACGGGGGGGAGTGGACCGCGACCGCGGTATTTCCAAGTTTGCTCGGACGCAGCGCCGGGACGACACCACCCCTACCCTACCCCGCAACATGCACACAGGATGATGAGACCGGTGTGAGCGGCAGTATATATAGGCTCCCAACTGCTGTAAACCTCATCCGAGCTCCCCTCGTGTGGTGGTGGTGGCGAAGGGAGCACCGAAGCTAAGAATGGGTCATTCACGCCGATGTGCGACTAACGGCCGTTCCTCTGTCTGTCTGTCTGTCTGTCTGTCTGAAACACAGCATCGCATCCATTTCAACTGTATGCCCGGGCGGATGGGGTTGTAATATTATGCACGGACATATCCCGGCCAGCCCACACCCCCTGCGATGCGAAGAAGGCCACCCCTACCACCAGCAAGCGGCCTTGAGCCCCCCCGCAAGGTGCTACCCCGCCCTGCCCCCGCCCCCGCCCCCCCCCGG